CCGGCATTTTTTTCGGGCCGCGGACCATAGTTTGGGAAACGCTGCCTTAAGACATTACTCTGTTTACAATACAGTATTCCTTTCTCCCCAAAAACCATGGCTTTTCAACACAAGCCATTGTCCAATCCTATGAGTTGCTCTTCCTCTGAGCCAGAGTTAAACACATTTTTTTTTCCTTTTCCCTTGCAACCCACCCGGTACTCACGTATCAGCATCGTTTTACTATCAGATTTAGTTGCTGAATACCTATCACAGAGACTACATGGGTGCAGAATACAAAAGCAACTACATTGTACATTATTATTTACTAGGGAAGTTAAAATGTATTTATTTTGGTAAATGTGTATGGGTACACATTTATACCAGGGAGGGGAAGGACGGCTCGACGGATACAGAAGCAGCACCCGGGGAGGGTTATGTGTAATCGTGAAGTTTTACTGATAAACCCAGGCTTTTACATATTTACACTATCACATCTCTGGTACTTATCCAGTCTAGCTGTAACTGTAACAAGCAACGTGGCGATTTTCCACCTTTTTTCCTGATGGACTGTGCAAAATTTACCACGTCAGGCAGTGGAATAGTCTAAGATTCTCTTGGATTTAGGGATGTTAAATATTGGTTAATTGAATAGTTGAGTAACCTCATGAATTCTTATTGGTTAGTTGACTATTCTATAGTCCCCAGGGGTGGGGCTGGCAGTCACTGTATCAGAGGCAGCAGTGCAGGGTGTCAGGCAGGAGCTGGTCCATGAGGGGAGCCAGTTTAAAAACCAGTTCACCTTGAAGTCCAGCTGCCTGTTGTCCAGTGCTGCTGCCTCTAATAAAGAGGCAGCAGCGTGGGGTGGCAGCAACCCCTGTCTAAGGTGGGTCTGAGTTCCTGGACTCAGCACAAGATGGGACTGAACCAGGCTGCTTGCTTGCCTGGCTCCTAATACACTTCAAATAAAGAACCGCAGCAGGAGCAGGTACTGGACCCGGTGTGAGCCAGAACTGAGCTGAGCTGCTGGTAAGTCTGCTAAAACATGTACTGGTAAGTGTGGGGGGAGGGAAATGCATGTAGTCTATAGCATTAACCTATAAGCTTTTGCTTATCGGTTAATCGACCATACAGGCAGTCCCCAGGTTACGAACAAGATAGGGATGTAGGTTTGTTCTTAAGTTGAATTTGTACATAAGTCGGAACTGGCGTCCAGATTCAGCCACTGATGAAACTGACCAGGGGCTGACTACAGGAAGCCTGAGGCAGAGTTTCTCTGCCCCGGGCTTCCTGGAATCAGCTGCTGATCAGTTTCAGCAGCAGCTGACTTGGGGACACCTGGGGTAGAG